AATCCACTCGCACATATTCACCACTTTTTTGACGAGCTTTTTTTAGATGAAAAAAAAAATTCTAAAAAAAATTTTATTTCCCCTAAATTCTAAATAAACAGAGCGATCATATGAATATTATTTGCTTAACTTAGCTGTGGGCGTTTTTTTTTATCTTTTTTTATCTATCAAAGACGTGATACCTGCAAATAACGTAAACAATTTAATTTTATCTAAAGGCTCAACACTGTCTGCGATATATCTGTTTACATATTACATATTTTATCTAAATACACAGCTACTCTCCCTCTCTCGCAAATTGTTTACACGAGCAATTAAGTTAGCAAACCACAAGTTGCTGGTCTCAAGTAACTAATCGACGTGGCTGCATTGTAATTAGATCTCTGCCATGAGAAACTAAGCTCTTACATTATTATGATTACACTTCCCTTATCACGACTTACCACAAAGTGTGTTTAATCGACGAGTTGTATGGCGTCCAGTTGAGATCAATTTCCAAGTATCTCTTGTGGTCGTTTTTCCGTTGTTAACCGCAAGAGTTTTCACACTCTATTTATGTATGTATCTGAGCAGATTTTTTTTTTTTAATCAAATCAAATTAGTCACATAAAATAAAAACGCATTTACCTATTTATTCGCGGCACTTAATTATAATTGTAAAAGTAATTATCAATACTAAAGTTTAAAAGTTGCTGTAAGTATGAGTACGAACGCCGAAAATTTAACAATACCAACAATGATTTGCCGAAATTTCACAAATTCGTAATTTCGAGAAGAGAATAGTAGACCACCACCACTCAACTCGGCCAGTCTATTCTAGTGAATGTGTGCTGTTAGGCGAACGACGCGCGCAACTAAAAGCTCTGTGAATGTTCTGCTGACTGACGAGGTGATGGAGACGAATTAAGTGAGACCGCTCTTGACTTGGCGTTGGGAGGTTTTGTGTTTGTTTATTTTCTTCTGCAATATCAGTAGCCATAAAACACATGTATGCATATATACATACATACATACATACATATATAATATGTACATTTCTGTTTATATACAAACTAAAGTATGGGACTACAGTTTGTGTGAGCTCTTATTCAATTGCTCGAATTCTGTGCCGCAAACGCGAGTTTCTGTCTTTGTTTTGGTTCTAGCTGTGCGCGACGGCGGCTTGATTGTGCTGAGTCGAGTATAAAGAATTTAATTTGCAAAAATTACAAACACATGTATGTATGTATTTATGTATGAGTATACAGAGTGCGAGTGTCAAAACAGTGATTTCTTTCACTTACAACTCGAACTTAACACAATAAAGATGACTATTTATGTATGTATATTGTCTCATTCTGAAAATAAACAATGTTGGTACTTTATTGTATGTACGTAAGGCTGCCTAAACCTTGGTGGTATAAATTCCAGTGTAAAGAATAATCACTTGTAGTATGTTGAAGACCACATTGCCTGTCACTCACTTCATTCAAACATTCCCAACCTCCAGCCTGTTCCAACTACTCATCGTGTGACGAACGAATGAGTGCAATTGATTAAGAAACTTGACGAACTGTGATCGGGGTAAATGTATCAGAAAGGGGTTTTTTTAGCCCGCTTTCTCAGAGTGGCTTGATTATATCACTGAGTACACCAATATTGGTCAGACCTTTAAAATAAATAAAAGAAAAGAGAAATATTCGTAAGTTTATAGAGCGGGGCATATGTTAAAGATTAAGTAAACTTAAACAGACTGGCTGATATGCCTATATGGAACTTCTTGGTTCGCTTTAGTGCCCGAAGGCGGTACAATTTAATTCGAGGTGAATTAGTCAGCGCTTTTTACGAAGTTTAAGACAATCTTGTTATCGAGTTTTTAGACTTTTTCTTGTCCTCTTTACACTTAGATTCTCAGTTATCTAAGATGTATTTTAGATAGGGGGAGACTGTAACAGAGCAGCATGTGTCACAACCAACTATTAATATCTGCCTTCCTGCTTGTGTCCCTATTTGTAATGTCCATTCAGCTCATGTGGGACACCAATAGGTTGTGGCCAATCAAATGTCTTTAATTCCTTTCGAGAATGCATGATCCAAATGTAGGTGTATTTTCCTTTGCTACCATGGCACAAGCTGTTAGGGAGGCACTCAGACTCAACCTAATTCATCTTGCTGCTTCCATGGAAATTTAACGCACAGAGTCTTTAATGTCTAACATATTTCATTTACATACATACTTAATCCGTCGCTGACGAATGATACTTTTGGTAATATTATCAACTATTCTGTTCTCCACAATGCCCTTGTGGCTTTGAACTCAGTAGATATGAAGTTGCTTCCCCGTTTTTCTGCTTCACTTGAAATTTTTTGACGTAATACGAATACCGCCTGGGTGTAAAACCTGTGTTTTCTGCAGTGTTAACTCATCCAGCGCCTTTCCTCACCCCGATGACCGAAGTCCGCTTTGAAAAAAATGCCCTATTCTGGAAGCTTGAAGTGTTGCATGTGATCTTGTTCAGCCCAATAGATTTCGGCGACAACTCGATCAGCCATTTTCGATTGGTTTCTGCAGATGTCGGCAGTTGCGTTAACGGACTGCACGTTTCTGCGCCGTCCACCCTCTCTTAATGTAGTTCGCAACCTTTTTTCTTCGCAGATAAAGCGCGGAGTTTGTTGAGGCATATACTGGTGTCGGTTTAAAGAGAAACTATACCCGAATACCATTGTGCATTATGATGGACGAATATCTCATCAGAATTTGAAAAATTCATTCAATTTCGTTATATGAGCCGCTCAGTGCACACATCTATTAACTCCATAAAACGAAAAGTTGTCTTCTTCATCAGCTGGATGTGAGGATCATCTCGATTTGTTGACGAGTTCTTGACAAGTTCTTATAGATGAAATTTCTTGATGCCCACGAGATCCTTCAGTTTCTGGCCAAACAAACGTGTGACTTATATTTTTATTGAATTCATGACATGCAAGATTATAAACATAGAAATTTCGCTTATAATAAGCTACCAGTGTAGTTGTCTCTGTACGCCCCCGCCCGAAAAAAAAACTCGTATGAGCAAGTCGAAGGTGAAAACGATGATTATTGCTTTTTTTGATTTCTTCACTGGGTCAAACGGTAAATCGAGTTTACTATCGCCAATTATTCAAAAGTATGCGGAAACGCTTCAACATGGTGCTCCCAGACATCGGTCGTAACTGGATCCTTCATTCCGACAACGCGCCGTGCCACACCGCCCTCAGCGTGTCCCAGTAATTAGCCTTTAAAGGGATCGTCGTGTTGACCGCCTTATTTACCCGATATGTTACCCTGTGACTTTCTTCTCTTTCGGTGGTCAAAGGAACCCATTTCGAGTCGAATGAGGACATCCAAGCGGCCGTGACATTCATGTCGAAATGTTTCGAAGCATGGAAAACGCGATGGAATCGTTGTATAGCTGCCTAAGAGGACTACTTTGAAGGGGATGACGGAGTTGTAGAATAATTTTGAAATATACGGTTTTTATGGAATCATATCTTAATCGTATCTCCGTTCAACCTTATGTATATATATATATATATATTGAAATCGCCAAGCACATCTCTAATGCTGTGAATACCAAATTGTTAATAGGTGGATGAACTCGTTCGCTGTGTAAATAAATTCATACATACATATGTTTAGAAATTTTTCACTAAATTCAAATAAAATTAACCATCTTTATTTATAAACTTATATTTTAAATAATTTTAAATCAATTTTTATATTTGTGAAACAAAATGAGAACCAAAGGAAAATGCGAAACAAATCTGTCTATCCGTGAAAAATGTTTAATTTTACATTTTGGCTTATAAATTTACCTACAAAGTATAAATGACTATTTATGAATTTACATGTATTTCAGGCTTAGAATTTTCATAGTAAAATTTAATATGAAAGTCACTCATACGCACTGTTGCTACGTTAGTTTTTAATGGTAACACCATGTCTGCACAGTCGATCAGCGAATGCTTACCAACCGTTATTTTGATGGATAATTAATTGCAGATAATTTGATTGCCAGTTTTTGTGGGTAATTTGTTTTCCTCACGTTCCTTTGTAGAATGGGGCCAACCAAGCTTTTCGCTGCATTAAAGCTCTCTAACAATAAAAATTCGAAAAGAACTGGCCGAAGCGGTTCGAAAGAGAAAGATTTTTTTCATTCATTTTAATTACTTAATCTTCAAGTAAACTTAAAATATCAATGGTTATGTCACCAGCAAGCTTTCGTGCAAATGAAATTTTAGTTGTCAATGTGAAAAACTGACATTTAATGGCAGGCAATAGATGGCAAGCAATAAGCTCTGACATATATTACCAACTGTTTACAATTGCCGGTCTCCACCGTCAATTTATTTTGTTATATGAATATAATTGGCGCAACCCCAATTTGTGGTTTTGCGTCTTGATGTTTTTCCAACAAATGGAGGGACCTACAGTTTATACTAAACCGCTTCCGAAAGGCTTATTGTTTTTTTTTTTTAATGAGGAGCCTTTGTTTGGTGATCGAAATACACTCGGAGGGTTGGACACTCCTTGCCGAGTGGCGACCGCAACTAGAGAATTTAACTTAATAATTTATTTAAATTAACTTCCTATAACGTTTGGAGATTGTTCGCATCGGGATTTGAACCCAAGTCTTTCGAATGACAGTACGCAATTGGGAAGGAAGTGGACAAGGCAAATTCACACACGGTAGCAGCAAGAATAAACAAAAACAAAAAGCCTATCTATTTTTTTTCTGTCAGAAACGAAATACGTTTAATTTATTTTGTTGGTGTAATAAAAAGTATTTTGTTTGTGTAATTTATACAAATGGAAGAAGGAACAAGCAATCGTGTTTGTGACAACTTCCCCTTCTATAAATTCGCCTTCGGAAGTGTAAGAAATCTTTTCATGCAAAAGTTTATTCTCTTAATAATGCGAGTTTTTATTTGCGGTAACCTACAAAGAATCCATTGTGAATATTAGCCCTTTACTTGAGAAGAAGCAGAAGAAGAAATTAATTTCAGTGGTGTAAATAAATAAATTTAACGTGTTTCCGAAAAATTTCACTTTATTTTGTTTACTTTCAACCATTTTCAGTTAAAATAAAACAATGCTATCAAATCTAATTGTTACAACACAACGCCTTGTAGTTATAATTGGTAAGTTTGCAACATAACCGCCAAATGGAACAAAAAAAAACTCCTGTTATAAAATATATTGCATTTATAGATGATACCGCTCAGGAGAAAATATCACAACAAATACTTACCCAACTTTTAAAAGAACAAGGACAAGATGAAGTGTCCACCATAAAAGCACTCCCTTTCAGTACAGATTTAAAGAAATGGGATACGTTTGTAGATTTCTTTAGAAAATGTACAAGAGATGAAAATAAATGCAATGCAATATTACCGTCCCTTGCAGATTTGTTAGTATATCAAAGTGTGGAGAAAATCATACATTTTGTCCACACTTTGCTACTTTCCAAACAGGTGCAACGCGTCTTTCTATGGATAACGCCAGCTAATATTGTACATTCACGTGCCGAATATGTGGTAGCTGCTTTTGAGTACTTAGCTGATTTGATTCTCCATTTAGAAACAAACAATACGCTGTCCATTGTCACACGCAAAGCTGGTGGTGCTGTTACTAACAAACGTTATACATATACAAAAAATAATAAGGAATTTCTAGTTGAGGCAATACAAAAAACACCAAAGACCACACCAGCTGCCAAAGCTGACGAGCCAACAACGAATACGGTGGGTACTACGTTCAAAATTGAATTGAATGAAGATGAGTTGGTGGCGCGCAATACACTCAAGTTGCCTTATGAAAAGTAAGTACATATTGTGAAAAGATAACAGTATATTTTAATATTTGAAACCGTTAAATTTTTTTTTTTTACAGAACATCAGAAACTACAGAAAGCTCAATTATTTACACACCAGATGCTGGCGACGACTTTGATGCAGAGGAAGAAGATCCAGATGAGGATCTATTGATATAAAGTGTTCCTAATTTTTATTATTTATTGAATATTTTTTAAAATAGATGGAAAGTGTGCTTTTTGAGAGTAAAATCTTGTTATAAATTTTTTCACTGCCAGTTTGGCGTGTCCATTTGCAAAGTAAAATTTGTACTCAAATAGAAATTGTGGAATAAAAATTTTATAAACAAAAATATATGTGTTTACCTATATTATGTGAGGATTGGTATTTAACTTAATGAAAAGATGTTTGGAAAATAACAGTACTTACGTTTGGCAGTGTAGTCTAAAAATACATCTAGGAAATGTTTTCTGTTTTAATTATTTATTTTTAAATTTATTTGAAATAAATATAGTGAGTTTCCTTTTACTTTTTATAGAAATCGTTAGTAGTTGGACATGAAAAATATAAGTTTATTTAGAAATAATATAACAAAAGTTGCTAAAAATTATTTAATTCGTCACATATGTATGTGAAATGTAATACAGTGTTAGTATATATGAAGATCTGTGTGGTGAAAAACATTAGACGGGTTTCATTTTAATATTTATTTATTGCTAAGCTATCTAGTGTAAGTATATCGTTTAAAATGACGGAAGCACATACAAATGAATATGTATGCGTGTAGTGCAAATATTTTTTTTTTGTTTTGTTAATGCTTAAAATGTGCAAAGATAAGATTTGTTAGCAAGAAAAGTTATTAAAAATTCATTACTCTTTGTTTTACTTTGTATCACAAGATTTCAAACTTAATAATAATCAGTGAACACTTCGTTCATAATTCTAAATAGTATGGATGTTTATGACACTCTCAACTTAATTACAAAAAATCTTTCATAAAATATTTATGTATATTATTATAAAACAATTATGTGCTTTAATAGTTTGCGCTTTCGTGTTAAATAAAAAAACTAAAATTTCTAAAAAAAAAAAAAATATTCGTCAAGGACATGTTTGTTGTTGCTTTAACAAAATAAATAATTATTTTATACCTATTGACCGAATTTAAAATAGCAAAATCGTAATAGTAATTTACATAATGAACGCTCAATAAACAATTGTTTGGCAAATACATATGTATGTACGTACGTACATACAACATATAAAACTTTGGTTGGTTATGAATTGGACGAAAACGTATGATATTTGGCTTACAGCATAGATGGGGCGACCAATAACAAATTACTATAAATACAAGTGTACATATTTTATATGCACACACATACAAATGTATGTACGCAGATACATAAAATAAATACGTATTTTAAATGCAAAATATTATAATACATACATATAAATAAAAACATCTTAAATTAACGCCAGCACATCATCCATTCATCAACTCTTGAGCAAAGCATAAACATCACTTTTCGGATCTTCTGCCAGTGAACTCCAAGGTGTCTCACGACATAAATGCAACGGCTCCTTTTCACCGAATTTCATTTGCAGCGCCTGCCCATCCACAGCGCATGACTCACGAAAGAAAAAGAATTTGCTAATTAAATCATCCGCCCAAGCGTTGAGTTCATCACCGTAACGCTGCGCTTTGGCGCGCTCCTTACCAAGGCGTTGTTCATCTAACGGTGCAGGCAAATATTGCCGCCATTCAGCAGGCATTTCAAATGTAGCTGACAGCGATGACTCGGCACCCCCATTCACTATTTTCGCACGCTCCGGCTTAATAGGTTTGCCTGCGGCTAATGTTAATGGCACAACGAGAAATTTGGTTTGCGCATAAATGGCGGTGCGTCCAATTAATTTGGCTGTCCAAATGCCGGGCATAATGGGCTGATTCAGCACAGCTTTAGAGTAATTTATAGCGTCGGTTTGTGAGTCTTCTATATGCAGTTCGTTAAAGTCCTGCAAACGTCCGAGCGGATCGATCCATAAGAGTGTGAGATTATATGAATGAGCGGCATCATTATGCGCCGACACACTAGCACCAGTGAGCGTAAAACTCACTACAAGCTCAGTGTAGGGTCCAAGCATTTTAGCGAAATTACGTGAGACCTGCTCCTTTAGATCGAAATCAGATGAAACTTCGAAATTGCGCAATCTCTTTGCTAATTTAGAATTTTTAGCATATTTCACATAAACAGCGGGCCGTATACGTGTTTCAAGCGCGTATGTACGGTTGTGTGTATTGTCTTCAAGCTCGTAACGCATTAGGAAACCTTTATATTCATCTTTGTGTAAATAGTGTGTTAACTCTAAAAGTCGTCCTGGCTGTGTACGTGTATGTTGCGATGCGATTCGTACCAAACTTTCGCCGATGGTACGTAGTAAATCATCACCACTTTTATGGGGATCAGCGCTGTCGTACAATGACTGCCAATAACTATGTAAATTGACAACTTCATTGCTGGCTGCGCCAAAGAGCCACTCTTCTAATTGCACTAGCACGGCTTGATTTATGATTGGCTCAAATTTGCGTGCAAAAAATAGCATTTTATTTTCAGTACCCTGTAGGCGTGGCCAGTCTTCCGGTTTAAAGTCATTTGGACTACAACCACACCAATCGACGACATGCTTATATTGGCATTTGCAGCCAAGTTTTCGCTTCCAATTGGTCACATGCAGGTTGTTATCTATATATGTATTGCAGAAACGCGTATTGCGTAGCACTGTGTGGAAGAAAGATTCAGCTGGTAGTAATGTATGTCGGAAAATACGGAGAAGGCCCTGTAATAGTGGATCATGTGCGGATTCAGTAATCACGTACTGTACAAATGGTCGTGACAGTGCAATCCAATCACTGCCACCATCGATTTGTATGCCATTCGGCAACTCTCGGTCACCTATTCGCCACATATGCGTATCACATTCGACAAAGGTCTTATCTAATCCTTGTTTTTGAACGAATCGTTGAGTTTCACGACCATGACTTTTTACAAAGTTGTGATCCCTATTCGCCGTAAGGAAAGTTACAAGTTGGTGTACGGTTTTAACAGGAAAATCACTTTCACTAAGATTTATGATGAAATCCCATCGCCACTCTGAGGCTAAAAGATCCTCCATACACTGCATTAGCATTGTCAGCAAGGACGCTCCACCCCAGATGGTGGAGAAGCGTTTGCGACCTAAGCGTATATTAGAAAACTTGGATTCCAGTTCGAGCAGCTTACGATACAGATATGATTGACGCTGTAGAAAGAGAATTAAATGGATATTTTAATATAGAAAAACCTCGGTATAAACGTAACTGTTTGCTTAAACATTTATGCACATACTATATGTGACTCTCGCTAACGATTAATCATGAAAACTACAATTAACGGAATACTTACCGCATCCACATGTATATAGAACACATGTTCGGGCGAGTAGAGCGTTTTAATTAAACGATGTACTTGTCGCAGAGCACGTCCGTTTAGCGTGAGTAAAAATGCAATTCGTACACGCTCAACGTCTGGCCGCGGATTTTTAATATCAGCAATTTGTGGTGTGAATTCTGCAGATACAGAACGTTAATTAAATGCAAAGAAAAAGACAAAAAAAGCAATGCCAGCACATTTATCGCCCACAATGTACAGTAAACGTGATAAGGTTTGATAAATGGGGAATTTAAGCTTACTTGCAATTCCTGTTTCGTACACATTCATACTGAAGTAACCACCGCAAATTTCTTTACTGTCACCAGAGCATTTCATGTTACAACTAGAGTCACGCAGTTTAGCTGATAAGGGCGGCGCATCTGCTCCGCAAAAGCATTCACTAGCATATTGCACGCCTGCATAGGGGAAACCAGATTGTAGACAAAGGCGCGTACACTTTCGTGGAGTATTGGTCGTTTTGAAATTTGTGAAATAACCAGATAGTAGACGATATTCCTTTTCATCTTGGTAGCAGCCAAGTGGCAAATTTGCAGTGTGATTACCAGCGGGACAATAGTTCGGCAGATGTTGGGCATAAAAATTACCCTCCTGGATGGCACAGGCTATGTGAGCAATCTGTTCACGGCAGTCTTTTGTTTTGGCTCTTTGCAATGCAGATATAGCTTCTTTGGCGGTGATGTTACATTCAGCTTGAATGCCATAATGTTCGTTTTGCTTTGAACCTATATTAACGTTGTTTCCCTCAAGTTTAGGAATTTTCACTAATTGCTTTTTCTGTAAACCAACACTTGAATCATCCATATCGTAGGCAGATTGTTGGTTCGCAATACCTTTGTTTAACGAACGTTTTTTATTTTGGTAATTAATGTATTCCGTCGCCGCTGCTGTCGTTTCCGAAAATAAATTTGTATTTGCAGCAATCACGTTCGAACTGGTTATATTTAAAGACTTGTATGCGAGAAATATTTGCACGCCCAATATTATAAGACCCACTAAAAAGAATAGTTTGTAACGTCGCAACCAACGTAAGGCCATGTTTTCAGACATATTGGTCACTGCTTATGATTTGGATGTGTTTGATATTTATAGTGAAATCGGTGTTTATATTGTTCAGAAGATCTTCTGCTTGCCTTAGGGTTGTTTGAAATTGTAGGGCTCCAAGTGGCGTATGAAGTCAATGCACCAGGCATGACAGTAGTGTGGACGTTTTTTATAGATTTAAGAGTACTTATGGAATTTTTCTTGTGATCACCATTTATAGAATTTTTTTTAAACGTTTCTTTATAAAAGTCGTTTAAATTTTCTTCACATTTTCCTTATAATTAGCATGCACAACTCAAAACAAACAAAATTCGCGTATTTTTAATGTCAAAGCAATAAATTCAATGACGAAAATTGGGGAAGATGAAAAACGAGTATTCACCATAGCAATAAAACACAGGGTTACTCAAACGAAGTGTTTTCCACCAGGAAGGCGATTGTCCATAATTGCTCGTTTTTATATATTTCAGGCTTTATAATGTTACGATTTTACTAAATCAACCTCGATTATTTTCTAGATCCTTCGGGTATGATCTCTGGATTGTTAAATAAAAACTCGCCAACTTAATTTGCAGTCTCTTTCGTTATAAAGAATTAATCTAATGTTCTTTATTTTCTCAGTAATTCACAATTCAATTATACTGCACTTTACTATTTATAATCACTAACATCAACTTTCACAATTTACTCTACTTAAATGTTCGCTATGGAAGGTTCTTGTTTTATCGTTTCTAGAATGTACTAGTTATCGGCTTCTCTCTTTCATCTGACATTCGCCTCGCATTTTCGCAACAATAATTTACTAATTTCAAATGTAAAATAAATTCAGTAAAAATATCTTATTGTGAACTAGTTCTCTGATCAGCTGTATTAAAAGTTTTGATGTTTTCTATTACCATGCGTTCGTAATTTTAGTATTCAGTTGTTTGAAGTGATAACAACATTTCCTTAACTTTTTTCTAGAGTCGCGAAATATTTTAATTAACATTTTCTCCATAAATATGGTTGACCCTAACCGCAAAATTAATAGATTCACAGATAGAGATATAGAATTCTTGGATGAATGTGAAGAAGAATTTGCGAATCGTTTTACTGATGCAGACATAGATTTTGTCAATCATTGTTCTAAGCCACTCGCTGATCCTCCAATAGTGGAAAATTGGAGTTTTTCAGGTGCTGGAAATAATTATCGGGGCGGCGGTGGTGGACAACGTGGTAATTATAGTGGTGGAAATCGTGGCTATAACCGTGGTGGCTGGAATAAATGGGGTCGGGACCGAGGAGATAACAAAGGATATAGAGGCGGTGGTGGCGGCCAACCATATAGGCATAATAATAGACGATACAACGACAAGCCTTATGAACGACATAATCCAGGAGGCAACGACCGCGATGAACGTCCACACCAGCCCATGAATATTCGAAGAGACTATGGAAACTTTGTGCCAGCGTCCAAAGATTAATGTAATTGAATAAGTGTATAGGTATTTTTATGTATGTAGTTGCACTTGAACTATTCAAGACTATTTTATTTGCTCTTAAATCGATGACATAAAAACTTTAATTCAAAACAAATTATGTTATAAATTATGAAACTGCAAGTTAAACAAATATATACACATAACATATATTTAAATTTTGGGCTCGAATGTATTATTTATATGATTTATTATAGGCAATGAACTTGTTTTATTACTTTTGGGACATTTTAAACCTAAATGAACTGTGTGCTATACGCATTTTTTTAAACATTAACCGACAGTCTGAAATAAGTACACGTTTATATACATATTGAGAATGTTTGTGATCAATATGAATATTAATTTTTGCGATATACATACATCGTTCAACTTATACCCTAGATTCCTTCATGTCATCAGTAACTTCATCATCGTCGCTGTCAAGTGCTGTGGCAGTGGACATGCCAGCTCCCATCGCGTTTAGTAAATTCGAAACTGGACCTGGCCCACCCAACTGTGATTTGTAGCTATCAACAATGTTTTTCAATGTATTTACATTAATATTGATAGGTTTGAATGACTCGATATCGTCAAAGTCATCATCAGCTCCTTTAGAAGTATTACCAGCCTTCTTATTTTCAAATGTTTGGCCAATAGTCGTTTTCGCCAGTTCCCTATCCATTTGATCCATATACTTTTTGATATGTAAATCTATATTCTTATCTGTGTTCGACATTGCTTCGAAATTGTGCTCCAAGTTGTCATCATCTTCATAATCACTCATTTCAGAATTAGAATCCCACTTATCTTCAGGTATAACGAAATCCAAAAAATTTCGTACATGTGTGCTATCTTCAGTTTCGGTATTGCTCTTTTGGCTACGATTGCTTTCCACTGTTTCTTGTATAAGTGAGTTTCTATTGCAGGCTTTGCGCATGGAGTGGTTCTTCTTTACTTTAGCTTTAAATTCTTCATCATTTCGTTTTCGTGTATGGGAACCTCTAGCTCCACTTTCCATTTCTTCAGTTTCGGTATCCGTATCGTCGTCATCATCATCATCTCCTATACCTTCGTAAGTTGATTCTTTTTCTAAGAAATCAGCTATATTTTTTGTAAATTCCTCAGCATTTATACCGCCATTTGGTTTGTATAGTTTTTTAGGGCCATAACGTTCCATCAACATGGCATCTAGTTGGTCCGCGCTGATGTTAAGCCAGTCATCGGAGTCACTTGGCTGAAAAAATGTTATAGAATAGTGTAAATATATTCTAATAAAACAGAATGAAATAAATTTTCTAACCTGCAAATTGTTTTCGTCATCACAGAAGACGTCTTCCGAAGTTTCCATGCTCTTTAATAAATTTAAAATTTCTCGACCGACTAAGGGAGCTGTGCGGAAACGTTCATTGTTTTTAGTATAATAAGTACGCGCTTCACTCATTAACCTCTTATATTCCTCCGAGCCTTCTAAATTTTCTCTAAAGTAACCCTTTGCGGATAAATTTTTCACATAGGCACGCCAAGCTGGATCATTTTCTTCTTTCGTTGCACTCTTTGCTTGTGAAGCTAAAATTTCAAAGCCACAAGCAATTTTAATTCCCACAATTTGTTCTTTATATTCTTCACTGGTGTTGTCATCAGTAAGTAGCCAACCAACTTTTCGATCAGGTTTATAATTAGCATGCATGAGCATAGCGTATAGGCAGCGGGTGAAACGTACATTGGCACGCACGCACTGTTCCGGTGGAAAATAACGCATGGAACGGCAAGCTTTTAAGTCAATTGAATCACGTTCGCAGAAAGCTCGCACAGCTGAAGCAATTAAGGATGGCTGTTTTTGTAGCAAAGAAGCAACACCGAGCGGCAGACGAGCTATTTGCCGATGAATAGCTGGATTTGTACTACCGTTGAAAAGCTTCATACGTTCATCAATGCAATCTTGAATATCCTTTGCCACACTATAAAGTGTAGGGTTTTGTCTAATTTTTTCAACGGCCGTAACTACCGGCATTATCTTTTTTGAGTTGGATGGTGAATTTTGTACCAATTGCATTTTACCATTTGCTAAATAAACCTGTGAAATTTTTTTTTTTTTTAATATTGTATAGTATTTGCTTAGTACGCAAAAATGTCTTAGCTTACCCTTTGTTCGCATGTGTCAGGATTAGCCCAAGTTGGTAGCACATCAGCTGCTTCAATCAGTAGAAACTCGCCATCAGCATCTATAACGCGTGCAACGCAGCCAGATATCTCGCGCGTCAATTCCATTAATAGGTGCACGATGAACCACTCATCCTCAATATTATCGCCATAATGTGTTACACCGTGTAGATGTGGTGGCAGCGGTAGTGCTATTAAATTATTTAGTATGTATGTATGTAGCAATTGTAAAAAAAAAACTCACCTGTAGCAGAATCGTTGGAGCTATCTTTAATTTCGTCATTCAACAGTCTTTCTTGCGCACACTCAGTACGGTATTGTAATTGAAATTCGTCTTTGTGCCAAATATAGCCAAAAGTTTTCACATGCCTGTCCACAATTTCTAAACATTGTTTTTCGAACAAAACCAACTGGTTGCGTAGTTGTTCAAACTCGGCACCGTCATTTTGCACATTTGTCAAAGTATCTGGCAGTTCCGGAAAAACGAAATATTCCACATAATCGTCATCTCGGACGAATTCCAACTTGCAACCAGGCAACTTCGACATGATAATGTGCTTTTACTGGTATTAAATGTTTCACTCTCTCAAAATTGAAACCTTTAAAGTCTACTGAATGAAAGTAGTACCACAAATTATCTCAGTTTCGAATCGATTGGATAAAAGCACAAAAATAATTATTGATAACCAATAATCTTAACCAGACAGTGCGGATTCGCATCCTTTGTTGTTCATCGTGAACCTGACGGGAAGAAAAGAGCTGCCAGCTGCCACAATTGAAAAACAAACAGCGAGAAGGGGAAGATTTCTTTATAACAACATTGCAATCGTAAATTTAAAATTTTTATAAAATTAAGTTTCAAATATGACACCATTCTTAGGAAATTAAACTCTACTATATAATGATATACAAATTTATATTTCGAAATAATTGTTTAAATTTAATTTATTGCATCCGTCTCCTATTGTGAACAGGAATTCGTATAAACTTCAAGCGAACAAACTTTTTTACAAATTTTGCTCACTTATCAGCCTACTATCCACACTATTCGTAAATATTTACGAACGGGGAAGTGAAAATTGTAAGTAAACAAAAAAAATAGAAAACTGTTTATGAGCAAAGAAGTCTGTCCTATGGCCTGATTTCCTCCTACTAATAATTGAATAAGTTCTTTTTATTAAAGTTTTAAAGGTACTTAAGAATTTAAATATTCTTTTTAATTATCACAGTGTGTAAACCGGTTCCTGTTTTTTTCTTTTTGTTTTGCTACGAATGTACTTTAAGTGATTGCATAGCGAAAGCAAATACTCTGACAGCGAATTGATGGTGAACTGTCAAAGTGAAAAGAAGAAAAAATGGCTGCTTTGTGTGTTTCAATTTAAGTGGCATGAAAAATTACCAATTTCTCAACTACGGTTTTAAGTTATTTTTTACGAAAAATTCGAACAATCATAGTTGCACGAATATTGTGCAAAAATAATAAGTAAGCATATAAATATGCAATAAACAATTTTTGGGTAATAACTAGCTGTGTGCAGGTGAAAAAATTACAATGGAAGGCACCGAGCTGTGTCAAGAAGAAGACCGATTGGTATCTGGTAAGTAATCTACTTTGAGAAAATTTAATTGTTTGCAAAATTTTCACATTTCAAATTGAAAAAGTATATTTAATAACTATATGCTTAAGCATTTGTCACATAAGATTGCGCACCTCATTGCCATGGTCTGCCAGGTTGATAACTGGCCAATTAGCACTGTCACCGCCCCCATTTTTATGCAGACACATATTAATTGACCTCAATTCTCAGAAATATTGCTGTCGTTCGCAAAATCTTACTTTCCGATATAACTGCAATCATTTCCCATATATATTTAAAGATATTTTGTGCTTAGAGATGAAAGTAAGCACAAAAACTCCCTTTGATTCTATATGTACATATGTTTGTATATATTCTGTAAATACATACAGATGTACATACTTTCACGCTTGGTTGCAATTTTAACGCCTTAATACGTATTAACTCACTATTTTTATTTATCACATAATGAATTTCACCAATATTCAGTTCATATCGTGTAGGCTATAAGCAGTAGTATAATCAAAACAATTCAGAATCTTTGCAGTGCAATTTAGGGCTTTAACCATTATTCTAAAGTGTTTGAAGCTTGAACGTTAATTAAATGGTATGGAGATACAAAGAAGTTCATTTAGCCACCATTATGTCATAAAATTTTAGGGGGAACGGTTATCCTGCCACAAACACAACATAATCATATCGGCAGGAAAATTAGTTACTCATACGCCATGGTTTTCGTTTCTAACTAGTTTAGTTAAGCAAAAAAATAGGATTATTCATATCGCATGGTTTTCTGTTTTATAAAACGATAAATTTAATAATATGCGTGTAACTTGTTTTGTTTCCCAACAAAACTTTTGATAAAATTGATTGCTTATTGCACATTACTGTAAGAACTAACATAATAAATTTTATTCTGTTTTAATAATTTGCAGTAAAAGACCCATCCGCAAACGAAAACATTATACAAACAGCTGACTATTTGTTTGGCTCACACTCACGTTTTACCTCCCCCTTATATCTTTTTATGCCAAACAATTCCAAAATGTGCAAGAGTGTGTAGAAGAGCAATGCTGCCGGTATTTTAATAGTATAAACGAATATGGGGGTATATGACTATTTGTTGAAATTTAAATGCTTTTTGTTCTCGCATTATCATGCACCCAAAACAGATACACACACACACACACGCACCCTCAATGAATATGTTAAACCAAAAACTGATGATGGCGTTAATAACAATTCTAAATAGGCAATTTGCTTTTACTTTGTTTTCACTTGACTCTTCTTATATGCATATGTATGTATTTTTGCGTTATTCGTTATTTTCCATTTATACACTTCGTTTTATTGCTGTTTTTAATGTAGTATTTTCGTGGTATTATTTTTGTTTTCGTACGTTTACAAATAAGTTTTTGGATTTCTTCGTTTATACACAAGTATTGTGTCTGTGTGTTTTTTATTTTTTTTTTGTTCTTTTGCTCTTTTTGTTTGATTTTGTTTTTATCGTTCTGCTCTTTTTTTTTTTCTTTTGCCTCCAAAGGTCTGACTCTCATTTAGCTTATTTTAGCGGCAACAGTTTATGATTAGCTGCGGTCGTATTTGCATGTCGCAAATGATTTCATAGTACGCGCTCGCATGAAAATCGAAAAAAAAAAATATTCTCAATACAAAATTTTTGATTGTGACGTTAAATGTGAACAGCATATTATCGCTGGTAGAAACACTCATACCTATATTTATATATATAAATAATTGCGTGTAAATGTTTGTGTGCATGTACATATGTACATAGTACATATATGCCATAAAAGTGATTTCGATTTGTTTATAATAAGTGTTGCGAAACAATTTTGAAAAAGTCTGGTGAAAGAAATCCATTGAATCAGAAGTTGTTGGTTGGTAGTGAAAATCTTATTGCACAACCTTTTCTTTTCAAAAGCTGTTACATCCTTCTAACGGTCTGGATATAATTGCACGCTATAAGTTAATCAATTTAGCTTTTGGGCTGACAGTAATGAATATATTATAGGTACATAAAAACATATATACATTTGTACATATGTATTTAAGGATATTTTATATTCCGTCAATACTAAGCATGTATATACATACATATATTTTTAAAATAAATTAGTGCGTAAGTTCATTTACAATAGGCAAACTACATACATACATACATCATACATGCTGACATTCGTTCAAGCTTAGATATGTATTTATAAATATGTGTGTACATATGAACACATGTATCTGCAGATTTGTGGCGTAAAGTGTTAATAGTAATTTTTCTACACTTCTACTTTGTATTTTTATATTTATTTAAAAAATTTTCTATTGCTGATGATGATTATTTTGATTTTAGCTGCTTTCTTGCTGTTACTGTGGCCGGTTTCTTCTCATACACGTATATTTATAATATTACACTTATTTACATATGCATGAGTGTATTTACATCTGTGTGTACTTAGATACATACATGTGTACAATAGTTGTCGACATTTCGACTATCGAACTTCTGAATGTTCCCAGCTTGGTGGGCAATTTGTATGGCGGCGCGGACGTATCGGTGTGTAGCGAGTGGAACGCACGTCATATTTTTGTCATTTGCCGCTGAGCTCATAATTTTGTGTAAAGCTATGGCACGCAGCGGCCATTTGTCGTTTCGCTAGGCGCGCGCGTACGCTAATTAATACATTTTTGTTGTTGTCACACCCAACTCATAAAAGTGTTGAGATTTTTTTTTTGCAAACACTGAACGCGGCTGAAGAAATGCTGTGGTGATTTATGGAAAATTTAGCAAAAAAATTATTTTTAATAAATTTTTTTTTATTGTATTTAGATTACAAGCAAGTAAAGAAATATACAAAAATATTAAAATAACATAAACCTAAATAAATTATAAATGAAATATTAAATAATAATCAAAAAAAAAAGAAATGAAGTAAACAATGAAATGAAAAAAAAAAAAACAAATAAGAAAATAATGAATAAAAAAATAATAATGAACAAAAAAATTATAATAAATAAAAAAAAAAAATAAAAAAAAAATAAATTAAAAATAATAATGAATAAAAATAATAATAAATAAAAGATAATAATAAATAAAAGATAATAATAAATAAAAGATAATAATAAATAAAAAATAATAATCAAAAAAAGGAATCAAAATAAAATAAAATTAAATTAACTTAAAATAATACAAAATAAAATAAATTGATACAAAATAAAATGATAAACATTAACTAAAATAACAGAAATAAAAAAATAATAATAAATAAAGAAAAATAATAATCTAAAAAAAAATAAAAAAAAAATAAACAAAAAATAAAAAAAAATAAAAAACAAAAAAAAAAAATTAAAAAAATAAATAAAAAATAATAAATTAAAAAAATAAATAAAAAATAAATAAAAAATAATAAATTAAAAAAATAAATCAAAAATAATAAGAAATAAAAAATAATTTAAAAATGAATCAAAGTAAAATAAAATTAAATTAACTTAAACTAATACAAAAAATCACAGAAAATTACTAAAATAAAATAAAATAAAGAATTAAATAAAATAAAATAAAATAAAAAAAAAATAAAAAAATAAAAAAAAATATAACAAAAGTAATATAAAAAGTAAAATAATAAAATGAAATAAAAAATAAAACAAGAAAAGCAAAATAAAAAATAAAATAAGAAAAGCAAAATAAAAAAGGAAAATAAAAAAATATAAAGAATAAATAAAATAAAATTAAAATAAAAATATAAAATAGAAAAATAAAATAAAAAATAAAAAAGTAATAAAAGCATAAAATAAAAAAGTATTAAAGAATAAAATAAAAAATTTAAAGTAACAAAAAATAAAAAAACTAATAAAAATAATAAATAGAAAAACAAATAAAAAAATAATAAATAAAAAAATAATAATAAAGAAATAAAAATAATAAAAAAGAAAATAATAATAAAAAAAATGAAATTAAAAAATTGATAAATAAAAATAAAATTAAATAAAATAAGAAGAAAATAAAATATAACTAATAAAATAAGAAAAAAAACTAGCAAATGAAAAATTTAAATCAAAAGTAATATAGAAAAATAAAATAAAAACTAAAATAAATAATATAATATTGAAATAAAAAAATATAAAAATAAAACAAATAATAAAAAAATAAAAAAAATTACAAAAAAAAATTAAAAAGATTACAAAAAAATTAAAAAAATTATAAATGAAAAGAAAAAAATTAAAAATAAAAGGAAAAAATTAAGAAAAAAAAAATAAAAAATAAAGGAAATAAAAGTAAAGAAATTAATAAATAAAAGTAAATAAAAATAATAAAAAAATAAAACGAGAAATAAAGAAGCAAAATAAAAAAATTAAAAATAAAAAGAAAAAAATTTAAAAAATAAAGAAAATAAAAGTAAAAAAAATTAATAAATGAAAAAAATTTAAAAAACAAAAATAAAATAAAAAGAAAAAAAAAAAAATAAAAAAAAATAAAATAAAAAATAAAATAAAAAAATAAAAAAAAAAAATAAAATAAAAAAATTAAATAAAAAAATAAAATAAAAAAATAAAATAAAATAAAAAAATAAAATAAAAAATAAAACGAGAAAAAAGAAGCAAAATAAAAAGCTAAAATATAGAAAATAAAAATGGAGAAATAAAAAAAGAAAAATATAAAACAATAAAAAAAATAACAAAAGATAAATAAAATGAATTGAAATGAAATTAAATGAAAAATAAAATAAATAAAAGTTCGAAAAAAAAATCAAACGAAATTAAATTTAAAAAATGCAAAAAAATTAAAAATTAATTAAATATAATATAACAGTGTAAAGAAAAATTAAAAAAAAAAAAAACATTTTTCAATTAGGATAATACTCTTTTATTTTTTTTTAACGAATGTGTGAAATGGTAGATCCGAATTGAATAACTGTGAAACTTAGTTATTATCCGTGAATTATTTTCTTTGCATTCAAATTTGCACAAATGATATTTACAACTGCGTATTACTCTAGCTTTTGAGTCAT